TGTGGTCATCCCACAACATGATAATATTCATGATTAAAGTGAAGATTACTTGTAAATGTGCACTGTCAAGATGTTTATGCTATAAATAAATTCTTTTTGCTTATATAAGCGACAATGAATTACAGTAATTGAAGTTGATATTTTGTCAGCGATTAAACTTTACTCTTGCTTGAAAGTATCTTCAAGTTTGAAAATGTCTTCAAAATTACAAATCAAAGACAGTGTGTACACTATTGATAATTACAGCGATAAGCAAGTTCAGATAAATGATTTTCGTCGATTTTCTAAAAACAATGACTTTTACAACAACAACAACAACAACAAACATGATCTCGTTTCTATTTCCATTGAGAATGAAAAAAGAACAAAACCTTCCACAAAACCAAAATTCAGCTTTAAAAGATTATTCGGATGTTGCTGCGGAAAAGGCGACTCAGCATCTGGCGGAGAAGTAATTATAACTGCAGATAGTCTTTCTGTGTAACTATTTTAGTAACGTTTAAATCTACAGAACAGTGAACTTGATTTGGCCAAAGAAGTGAACATCACCGAGCACCTGTTGGAGCCTGCAGAGCTGGAGCGAAAGTTAAACACTGATCTAGTGAACGGCCTGTCAACGAGTGANGGCCAAAGAAGTGAACATCACCGAGCACCTGTTGGAGCCTGCAGAGCTGGAGCGAAAGTTAAACACTGATCTAGTGAACGGCCTGTCAACGAGTGAAGCTGAGTTGCGATTGAAGCGAGATGGCCCAAATGCCTTCAGTCCACCCAAGGTGACGCCTGCCTGGGTGATGTTGCTGAAAGAGCTGGTCGGCGGCTTTGCCATTCTCTTTTGGATTGCCATCATTGCCTCCATTATCATCTACTTCATTGAATGGCTTGCTACGGACGTATGTTTGGTTTTAAAGTGATGCCAATTTGCTTTAACACCTAAATGACTTTTGCAGTACATTCTTGCTATTGTCCTTGCTGGAGTGGTAAGGTGGAAAAGTCCTTCTTAAAACAGTCTTATAACAGCAAACAATTTAATTATTGTACCCAACCCAGGTAATCATCACCGGAGTGTACAGCTGGAGTCAACAGCAAAGTAGTGGCAAGATATTCGAGTCATTCGCCAGCATGGTTCCACAGCAAACGACCGTTATTCGGGATGGCAAACAGGTACTAAAACCATTTTGAGTGTTGACTGTAGTTTCAAGCTTATTTTAACCAAAACAACAAAAAACAGTCTCAAATACCGGCGACCAATTTGGTAGTGGGCGATATTGTGCTCTGCAAGGGTGGCGAGCGAATTCCCGCCGATGTTCGCATTCTGCAGTGTGAGGGAATGAAGGTGGACAACACCTCGCTGACCGGAGAATCAGAACCACTGTCTCGATCACCAGAAGCCGGTCATCAGATGCCGCTGGAGGCGAAGAACATTGCCTTCTTCTCCACAGCATGCGTCGATGGCAGTGGCATTGGGCTGGTCATTGCCACCGGCGACAACACTGTCATGGGCAAAATAGCAAAGCTCGTAACCAACATTCAGGTAGGATTGATGATTTAATCTTCATTGGCTAAAGGGCTGATTAACAGCTTTCTTTCTTTTTGATCAGACAAACACATCGCCGATTGCTGTGGAGATTCACCGGTAAGTGTGCGCAATGTTTATTTCAAAAAGGTGATTACAAGTGTTTGTCCTTACTAACAGGTTCGTCATCTTCATCGGTATTATTGCA